GTTGAGAACTTAGTTTTGTTTTTATAGAAGTACTGGGATTTGAACCCAGGGCCTGTGCTTCTTGCCCCCCCCCCCCCCCCTTATGTCTGGCATTCTGGCACTTAAACCATACCACCAGTCTGGGGGTGATTACTTGATTGCTCTGCTTTGAAGAGCTTCAGTTTTTTTTGTTTTTTTTTTTTTTTTGAGTCTGGTCGTGGGGCCTGAACTCTGGGCCTGGGCGCTGTCCCTCAGCTCTTCAGCTCAAGGCTAGCACTCTACCACTTGAGCCACAGTGCCACTTCCAGCTTTTATTCTTTTTGCTTATGTGGTGCTGAGGAATCGAACCCAGGGCCTCATGCATGCAAGGCAAGCGCTCTACCACTGAGCCACCTTCCCAGCCCAAGAGCTTCAGTTTTTTCTTCAGCATGTCACAGCATTGAAGCCCCTTGGCATTGGTGTTCATAGGTCAAGGCTGGAGTAGGAAGTACTCTACATCTTATTTTTCTCTTCTTTCCAGGAAAAAGCTGCTGGCAATCTTGGAACAAGGCTTTGATCCACCTATCATCATTTTTGTCAACCAGAAGAAGGGTTGTGATGTGTTGGCCAAGTCCCTGGAGAAGATGGGGGTATGTTTGGTGGGGAGTCTGGTCTCAGTAATATTACTTTCTGAAGATGCCTCCTGGGCATTTGCTTTCAATTCTCACCTGTTCCCTTTCAGTACCAGCAAGTTAGGGCCAAAGGGAAAAGGGTGGCTTGAGAGGCTAAGGAAAATTGATGCTCACACTCCCTTCTATCCAGCAATGCAGTCAAACTGTGGGTGGGTGCCACCAGGGGGAAGCTTTTGAGACAAATCCAGGCAGGATCTGAGGGTATGGGCTAGAGTAGGTAGACCTGTTTGTGTTTGTGTGAATATTTGAGAGAGGGGATTGTGGGGTCAGGAGGGAGTATGTTGATAATTAGTGTCCTACTAGTGCTTCAGAGGAATAGCTGTCTTCATCATTCAACTCTTTGGTTTTCTTAGTGTTTGATCTTTGTTTTTCGTCCTAATCGCTCCCTGTTTTCTGTTTCTGTCTGATTCTACACCTACCAGACTGATGTACTTTTAACCTTAACCCTGTCTGTCCTTGACCCCACCTTCTTCTTTCCCATCCCTTGCTTCAGCTTACCTGCACTCTCTCTCTTTCATTTGCACTTGTTCTTTCTCTTGCCTTCTTGCCTTTCTCTAACCTATTTCCCTCCCCAACCCTTCCTCCATATCCACATTTCCTCTCTTCTGTGTTGGCCTGTGATCCCATTGCTCTCTTCACCATTCTTCCAACAGTACAATGCTTGTACCCTGCATGGTGGAAAAGGCCAGGAACAGCGAGAGTTTGCACTGTCCAACCTCAAGGCTGGGGCCAAGGATATTTTGGTGGCTACAGATGTGGCTGGTCGTGGTATTGATATCCAAGATGTATCTATGGTTGTCAACTATGACATGGCCAAAAATATTGAAGGTAAGTGCAGGGGAAGTCAGTTTCAATCCAGGGTGAAAAGAGACTCCTCACCTCCTCCCACTCAGACTGGAGTGCTGCACCAAGAGTGCATAGCTGGGGCTGGGAAGGTGGCTCAGTGGTAGAGCGCTTGCCTTGCATGCATGAGGCCCTGGGTTCGATTCCTCAGCACCACATAAGCAAAAAGAAAAAAGCCGGAAGTGGCGCTGTGGCTCAAGTGGTAGAGCGCTACCCTTGAGCTGAAGAGCTGAGGGACAGCGCCCAGGCCCAGAGTTCAGGCCCCACGACCAGACCCAAAAAAAAGAGTGCATAGCTGTCATCTCTGGATGCTTGTCCCGACCTGAAGCGCTCCTAACTTTCAGCTCCACTGCATTTATTCTCCCACCATATGGGGTGACACTCTGTCTGCAGAGGTGTGGAGAAAATGGAGCTAGGAGACACTTACAGTTAGTAGGAAAGTGGGGAGGGCAGGCAGCCAGCAGTGGAAAGTTTTGTGACAGATGCATTTCCTGCCTGTGGAGGTACGGTAGGAGGAAGATGCCTGTATGGGTGGACACATTAGACGGTAGTTACCAGGGTATCTGGTCTGGTCTCGAGTGATGTTCCTCCTGCTCCCTAGATTATATCCACCGCATTGGCCGCACTGGACGAGCAGGCAAGAGTGGGGTGGCCATCACCTTCCTTACCAAGGAGGACTCAGCTGTGTTCTACGAACTGAAGCAAGCCATCCTGGAGAGCCCAGTGTCTTCTTGCCCCCCAGAGCTAGCCAACCATCCTGATGCCCAGCATAAACCGGGCACCATCCTCACCAAGAAGCGTCGGGAAGAGACCATCTTTGCTTGACATAGAACTCTTCTATTGGGTTTATGGGCATGCTCTGAAGCTGCCTGGAGCCTGTTCTTCAGGATCTTCACACCCCTTTCCAGGTTCTCATTCCTGGGCTATGGGAGTGAAGGAAACACTCCCTGGCCTAGACTCTTACTCAGGTCTAGAGGCCTGAACGTGAGGCTGCAAAAGGACAGGAAGTTCCGAAGGCAAGGAGAGCCAGTTTATCAAATTTTGGCTCATTTTTGCCTTTTCTAGGGGCCTTGGAATGGTACTGGGCCATTAGCTCTTGCCTGCCGGGTAATGGGGTAGCTGGTTGACACTATGCCTCCTCCCCCCACTCCCACCCCCAAGGCCTGGCCACAAAACCGATGCATAACCATGTACAGTGCAGGAACCTCATTGCTGGAGATGACCAGGGCATCCAGCACCAGGAAGATTGTGGACCTTGGACTCTGTCTTTTTGACAGCTGTTTTCCCATTTGGAGTATAAAACAATTTGAGAGCTTTTAGAACTGTGCACGTGCCAAGGGGTGCTGTGCACTCTAGGCATCCCTCCCTCAAGGGATTTTCTTTTTTTTTCTTCCTTTTTTTTTTTAGTAGATTCGGGGACAGTGAGCTGGCTGTGTCCATCTTTAAGTCACTGAGTGAAATTTTGGTTTTCTATTCTCTGAAAAGATAAGTTTGTATGTTCTGAGAATAAATACATGAACATTAAGGTTGTATCTAGTTCTAGCTGAACTCACCTTCCAGGTTTTCCCAGGCACCACAGAGAACAGGAGGGGACAGTGTTGGGCATGGTGGGTTAGCTGGGAAAATGAGTTACATTGCGAGGAAAGTTTAAAGCTAGGCACTAGTGGCTCATGCCTGTACTAGCTACTCAGGAGGCTGAGATCTGAGGATTGGGGTCCAAAGCTAGATTGGGCAGTAAAGTACATGAGACTCTTACCTCCAATTAACCAGCAGAAAACTGGAAGTGGCATGGTGGCTCAAAGTGGTAGAGTCCTAGCCTTGAGCAAAAGAGCTTAGGGACAGCGCCTAGGACCTGAGTTCAAGCCTCACAACAGACAAAAAAAAAATGGTTTAGGGTCTGGTTTTTTTCTTTTCTTTTGTGTCGGTCATGGGGTCTGAACTCTGTGCCTGGGCACTGTCCCTCAGCTCTTCAGCTCAAGGCTAGCACTCTACAAGATGAGCCACAGCGCCACTTCTGGCTTTTTTCTTTTTGCTTATGTGGTACTGAGGAATCGAACCCAGGGCCTCATGCATGCAAGGCAAGCACTCTACCACTGAGCCACCTTCCCAGCCCCTAGGGTCTCAGTTAATAGTCTTAAATCTGTAGTTGGCACCTGAGGGGAGGTGCAAAGCATGGCAACAGAATTGTAATTTCTCCCCTGTTCTCACCTCATGTAATTTATGGCTCTGGCCTGGATACCTAGGAAAGCTTTGTATAGAATAAGAAAGGGACCAGATGCTGGTGGCTCATGACTGTAATCCTAGCTACTCAGGAAGCTGAGATCTGAGGATCTCAGTTCCTAGCCAGCCTGGGCAATTAAACTATGAGACTATTAATCAGCAAAAAGAGAACTAAAGTGTGGTGGTAGAGCACCAGCTTGTTCTTGCCAAGTGAGAGCAAGAGGGCCTGAGTTCAAGCCCCATTATTGGTACACACACACACACACACAGGATAGGAAAGGACAGCAGATGTGAATTTGGGCAGCTGAGTTCAAGTGAGAGCAAGAGGGCCTGAGTTCAAGCCCCATTATTGGTACACACACACACACACACACACACACACACACACAGGATAGGAAAGGACAGCAGATGTGAATTTGGGCAGCTGAGTTCAAGTGAGAGCAAGAGGGCCTGAGTTCAAGCCCCATTATTGGTACACACACGCACACACACACACACACACAGGATAGGAAAGGACAGCAGATGTGAATTTGGGCAGTTGAGTCACAGAACTCTTACCCTGTCACCCATGTGCCTGACACCTGGTCTCAGTACTTCTGTTGGCTCCCCAAATGTTGAGTTATTGCTGGGAAGGGATGATGAGCAGAGCCCAGCTGAGTTATGTTGTAATGAGAGGATCACAGACCCTGGTTCTACCCCCAACACACACCCCTCCTAACTTTCATGGTCAGAGCTAGGCAAGAATGTCATTCAGTATTGTAAGCACCTTGAAAGCACCTTAAAGCTGAAGACGGACGATGGAAAACAGACTAAGCTGCTTTCTCACCAATGAGAACAAGTGTCTTCTATGCTGCCAAATTTCTCCTGACACCAGGGCAAGAAGGAGCTAAGCTGCCGGGCGCTGGTGGCTCACGCCTGTAATCCTAGCTACTCAGGAGGCTGAGATCTGAGGATCGCGGTTCAAAGCCAGCCTGGGCAGGAGAGACCGTGAGACTCCTATCTCCAATAAAACCACCAGAAAACCAGAAGTGGTGCTGTAGCTCAAGTGGTAGAGCGCTCACCTTGAGCTGAAGAGCTGAGGGACAGCGCCCAGGCCCAGAGTTCAAGCCCCACGGCCGACAAAAATAAAAAAGGAGCTAAGCTGTCTAGAAGTATAGTGACTCTCATGGCTTTGCCCTTTTCCCTTTCCCACTCCATGTGTCATTGGAGAGGGGCCAAAATACTTTGCCTCTACCAGATTTAGAACACATAGAAAGGCAGTGGTTAACATACAACAGACACGTGAAGGACTGTGCATGGTGTTTTATTGGTGATGTCAGTGAAGTTGGGGCAGGGTCTTGTGGAACATGCTCTGTAGGTCACACACTAGAGCCATATGGCAGGGTAACCAGGTAGGGCCTCTGGGTTGCCCATTGTGTCCTATGTCTCCCCATCTAACCCTAACTTAACAAGCAGCAATATGAGTCAGGGAATAGTCTTAAACTTATCATCCAGGAGGCATGAAAGGAAAGAACAGAAATGACAGGATGCAAGGACAGAAGGATGAGAAAGGCAAGGAGGCCCCTAGGCTGTTCCTTCTTCCCCTAAACCCGTCTAGGTTGGCTTCGATCTGCCTTTTGGTTTGACCATGCTCCAGGTCCCTCAACCTGTCAGATGCTAATCTTCCTGGTGGGGTAAAGATGCCCTTTCCTCTTGAGAGATGCTGCTGTGAGGTCTTTGGCCCAATCTCACCTGCCTGCTGCTCTGGTCTTAGATGTGGATTTCTGTCTAGAAATGCCACCAGGTTGGGCTCTGATTATCTCGTTTCTGATGTGTGGCAGTGAGGTGAATTGAGGCCTGTGTAACCCGAGTTCCTTTGACTGTTAGGACTTGGGCCTGCTCAGGAACCTTAATTCTTTGGGCCATGCTGCCCATACCCCCATCCTCTGTTATTCCGAGGGGACATCCCTTCCCTGAGTCTGGCAGGAAGGCCCCCTGCTCGAGGGATCTTGGCCTGAAGGATTTGCCCAATGGGGCAACTTCTTGTGCAGGAGGCAAGGAAGGTGCAGAACACAGCTGGAATGGGAGTCTATGGGGTCACTGTGCCCAGGAGGTGAGGGGCCCCGTTTCTCCCAGAACCTTTAGACCACAGGCAGCCCTGGAGCTGGGGCTGGGCAGGGGACGGTGGGAGCTGAACCTAGTGGCAGCCTAATGCCAGTCTAACTCCAACCTGCCTGGAGTAGATGCCCCAGCCAGCTGTGCCTATGCCTGCTAGGGTAGGGCAGCATGAGGCTGTCAGTAGCTATCCTTGGGCCAAGGCCGATTGCGTTGCCAGTTCCGGTCATTGTGGTTGTGCTCCGAGTCCTGGGCTAGGAGCCGGTCCTGGGGGTCATGCCCATTAGTACTGGGTAACCCCGAGGTGTGTTGGCGGTGAGGCTGGTACAGGTCTCGGTAGGCATCTGCATAGTCCTCTTCTAGGTGGCGGGAGCTACGCTGTGAAGATCCCGTCCAGGCCTGGCGGGAGCTCTCGCTGGCCTCATCGGAGGGCATCAAGCTGTCCCGTTCCAGGGGTGAGTGCTCTTCGCCTCGCTCCCCCAGCAGCTGCTGGCTCTGGATACCACAAAACAGAGCTAAGTGGAGTAGCACACACCCGGTCTTTGTATCCCTCCCACTTATAGTAGGGTGGAGATTCTTCCATCTTCACTCAGTTCTGACACAGGAATTAGTGCAAGGAATTAGTGCATGCTAGGCATTCTTCCAGGTCAGATATAGAAAACCAGAGGTCTTTTTGTTGTTGTTGTGATTGTGTCAGTACAGTACTTGGGCTTGAATTCAGGGCCTGCGCACAGTTCCTTAGCTTTTTTTGCTCAAGAATGGTGCTCTACCACTTGAGCCACAGCTTCACTTCTGGCCTTTTTTTGGTTAATTAGAAATAAAAGTCTCATGGACTTTTCTGCCCAAGCTGACTTTGAACAATGATCTTCAGATCTCAGTCTCCTGAGTAGCTAGGATTACAAGTGTGGGCCACTGGCTTTCTACCTTTTTGGTTTTTGTTTTTTTTTGGTCAGTTGTGGGGCTTGAACTCTGGGCCTGGGTGCTGTCCCTCAGCTCTTCAGCTCAAGGCTAGCGCTCTACCACTAGCGTTCTACCACTTGCGTTACAGCGCCACTTCCGAAAACAAGTTTTTAACACTGCAAATTCAGGCTCTACCTGAGAAGAATTTGCAGGCAATGTTTCTCTTGACCTTTAGAAAACCAATCTCTTGATTACCCATCTCACTAATTTACTGTCTTTCCCACCAGAAATTTTCATGTGCACTGGATTGGTAATGCAGAGCTGGAGTAGTACTAAAAATTAGCTCAGCAACTGAACATTGATGAAAATGAACTAAACAACTCAAAGGCAGTGATGGGAGAGAGGGAATGAGAGGGAAAGAGGGAACAGCTTACACTAAGCAAAGGAAAGAAATGTAAATATTACCTGATGTGAAAGAAATAGTTGTATTGTCAAAGCTCATAGAATTCACAACCTATACAGACCACGATAATGACAATTTGCCTTGTGAAGGTTAAAATGGGTTTGTGACTTTAAGTATCACTATTCCACAATACTGTGAAATATGTGAAATTTATGTAATCACCTAATCTCAATAAAAAATTATTTAAAAAAAGTCCAAGCTGGGCGCCCGTGGCTCACGCCTGTAATCCTAGCTACTCAGGAGGCTGAGATCTGAGGATCACTGTTCAAAGCCAGCCTGGGGAAGGAAACTCGTGAGACTCTTTATCTCCAATAAACCACTAGAAAACTAGAAGTGGCGCTGTGGCTCAAGCGGTAGAGCGCTCACCTTGAGCTGAAGAGTGCAGGGACGGTGCCCAAGCCCAGAGTTCAAGCCCCAAGATGGACCTCCCTCCCTCCCCCCCCCAAAAGAAAAGTCCAAATAAAAGGAAATGTAAATGTTGAGGTCTCACTCATTAAGGGAGTGCGTCATACTGAGGAAAGGAAACTTCCCTACCTGCTCTCCCCCATTCACAGGATAAAATCCAAAAACAGGAAGAATGAAAGTATAAAATGCTTATGTTAAAAAAAAAAGTTGGGGCTGAGAAGGTGGCTCAGTGGTAGAGCGCTTGGCCTTGCATGCATGAGGCCCTGGGTTCGATTCCCCAGCACCACATAAGCAAAAAGAAAAAAAGCCGGAAGTGGCGCTGTGGTTCAAGTGGCAGAGCGCTAGCCTTGAGCTGAAGAGCTGAGGGACAGCACCCAGGCCCAGAGTTCAGGCCCCACGACCGGATCCAAAAAAAAAAAAAATTCAGCAATTTCTTGGCCTTCTGAACTACAGGCCAAAGATGATACTATAGGCAGGGTGGAGCATGTGCTTTGGCTGGCTTAGCTTGCCTGTCTATGCCCAATGGAAATAGTTACCTGAAGTCCTGGGATGGCACTCGGAGGACCCAGAAGTCCAGGGCCAGGAGGGGCTGGGTGGTGGGTGGCCCTCCAGTAAACCTCTAGGTACTCAGCCAAGTGTTCACAGGCGTCTTCCAGTTGGTTCTCATCCAGAATCACATCAAATGACTCCTGAGGAGGGAGAGGGGAAATGGGGTTTCATTTCAGTAGTAGCCCCTACCCATCTCTACCTCTCCTGTGCTCTAGAACTGGGTAGAGGAGCAGCTGGCCCAGACACTTACCGGTGGGCACTGAACCAGCTTATCATATGCCATCATTTGGACAGTCAGGTGCTTCATCTGTGACTTCCCCCGGGAACGGATGAGCCGCTGGAGTACCTGAGGTGGGAGGGCAGAGCTAGGCCTGGATTCTTGGGGCACCAGGCAGAACTTGGCCTGGAAAGAACTGGGTATGTCTTTTATTGGTGATACAGAATCAGTAGCCGGTGAGGATGACTCAGAATGGTGTTCAGGATGCAGCAGGAAAAAGGAACTTAGGCACCCCAGGCAGGGCCCAAGCAGATTTAAGGCAGCTCTGTGACCCTCCCCCTTCATGCCCACTGCCTTACCTTAGGTGAGGATACTTTGACAAAGACAATGATTGGGGCCAATGAGGTCTTGGCCAGCTGTGCTGGGTGGTTGATCGTGTCAGCATCCAACACCACTAGCTGTAAGGATTTGGCCAGCTCGAATATGCGCTCAATCTCACTCTGAACTTCAGCTAAGAAGGGAAAGAAACACTGCTTCACCATGGGCCTCATTCCCTATTTTACCCCTTTTTTTTTGGGGGGGGAGTACTGGTCCTGGGGCTTGAACTCAGAGCTTGGGCATTGTTCCAGAGCTTTTTTGCTCAACACTAGTGTACTACCAGCTGAGCCACAACTCCACTTCTGGCTTTTCTTAATGCTTAATTAGAGATAAGAGTCTCACAGATATTTCCTGCCCGGGCTGGCTTCAAACCAAGATCCTCACATCTCAGCCTCCTGAATAGCTAGGATTATAGGTGTGAGTCACTGGCACTCAGCACCCTTAGTGTTTTGAGGGCTCCCACATGGTAGTTGGAAAGGACATGGAGGCAGGCAGAGGACTGGGGAATTGAAGTGGTAGGGAGGAGGTTCTAGAGGCAGGACAGGAGATGGACAGAGAGAAAAGGAGCTAGAGAAAGAGGAAAAGGCTGCTTCTCACTACCATCATGTGAGCAGAGAGGCAGGAGATAGGTGATCCTCACCAATGCTGGAGCGGGCAGAGGAGCGCTCAATGATGGTCCTCTTGCCAGGATTGTTGAGCACAGATCGCTTTGCCAAGGAGAGGTCAGCTGTGACACGGGTGATGGAGATCCTGAGGGTGGGGTTGGAGAACCACAGCTGGCTTTTAACCGAAAGCTTCAGCCTTCCTTATTCAGCAATCTAAGACTTGCTGTGCAGATGGGGAAGAAGGCAATTATCTCCTAGGCCAGGCCAGGCCAGCTTACCTGCCATCAAACCTATGTTTGAGGAAGTCAAAGAGAGCCTTCTGCATCATGTCTGTGACCTGGGAAAGAAGCATAGCATTGACAGAGGGCACTCTTGGAAAGGGGCATCATACCATGGCTGAGTCTGCCACACATACCATGGAGAATATCCACTGTGGGTGACTCTGGGGTTAGAGATCTCTCACCTCATAACCTTTCAGCGAGGGTCCCACCAACACCACAGGCCTCATGGAAGGTACCACATCGTATGGGGGCACATGTTCTGCCTGTAGAATGGACAGGAAATTGGAGACAATTATAGCCCTGGTGCCCACCTAATGCCTGACTGCTATAGGGACAGAGCAGGGAGTTCTAGGCTCCTTCCTCTCTGTTCTGCCCCTCCAACAATGAATTTCTACCCAGAAAATTATCCCCGGAGCCATGAGCTCTCCCCCTCCCTCCCCGTACTCCAGCCAGGTCCCTTCCTTGACTCACCTGCTTTTGCTTCTGCTTGGCTTTTTGGAAAAGGAAATAAAAGATTAAAGTGGGTGAAGGGAAAAGGCCCTAGGTGCATGGTTGTCCCTCCCCCAGGGGAGATACTGGGCTCTCCAGGCTCTTTTTATCCTTCCACCAGCCCCTTCCCACACAGCTCACTGGGGAAGACCCCCCTGCCCCTTGTCTAGTACCCATCTACTCAAGAGGACAGGTTTTGGGGAAGCTACCTAGGGATGGAGGAGGGGACCTTCGGTTGCCAATGTCACTCAGACTGGAAGGGTTCCCTGATCTCCTGAGAGAAGAAAGAGACAGAGGGCGGAGGGAGGGAAGGAGGGGAGGGGGAGAAGGGAAAGAAAGGAGAGAATATGAACGTGTGTGTAGATTCTAGGCATGACCTAATAATAATGTGCAAATTTCGGCCTACTTTTGTGAGAGTATGTATGCTATCCATGCATTTGTGCATGTGGACTTGTAGATGTTGTGTGATGGGAAAATGTAGCTAGGTATTTATGGGGTGGGGGGAGAGGGGATGTATATGCATGCATGGCGACTTATGTGTTTTGTGGATCGGCTACATGTGTTCAGCACATGTGTATCGAATCTCAGCCCTGGCTCTTACCTGGCCTTCTGCTCCTGTTTGAGGCGGATGCTCTCCAGACGCTGGGGGCTGGGGATGAAGGCAATATCCCCACCCTCCTTCACTAGCCGCCCGATCCACCAGTCATTGCTGTACTTCTGGGGGTGGGGTGGAGGAGGAAAGGGCAGTGAGAGAAGCCTCTGCCTGGCTCTTCAATGTGAAGGAGCCAGGGAGGCCCTCATGAGATGTGTCTGAAGAACATGGTACAAAGGGTGGTTGGCAGGAGAAGGTGTCAGAGGGAAAGGCAGCCAGGCTTGAGTCATGAGCCATTTGGTTTCACAGTGTGGCATTTCAGCAGTCACAGGGGACCAAAGAGACAGCCACTTTACTTAGACCAGATCAGGTCTCAGGACCTCAGAAGGGTAGATTAGGTCTTGGCCGTGAGGGATGGATAGGTATGAATACAGGTAAGAGTGGATGAGTTGGGGACTTATTTATAGACAGAGACCTGAAGTAACCAGCAGTAAGATTGGGAACAGGAATAGAAAAAGGGTAGAGGCTGCAGAGAGAAGGGGAGCACAAATCACCTCTTTAATGTGCAGAAAATCTTTGGCTTCAAAGTTGACTCCAGAGCCCTGGACTGGGCATTCCTCGTCCAATACACCACAGTAGCTGACATTGGTCCTCACAGCAAATGCCACAGGTTTGTGCTAGAGAATTTGGTCATCAGTGTAGTGAAAGGCACCTCAGAGCACACCCTTTCTGGCTTCAGCACCCCATCAAGGAAGATAAAGGGCCCAGCAGGGAAGGGTGTCAGCCAGAGCCTCTGTCAAACACACTCTCCTACACCTGATACATTGTGCAATTGACTCTAGGGACACAGGACCCTGTACAGGTGTTCACCTGCCCAAAACATATACCTTGGCCCTTTCGAGCTGCTGCTGAGCCTGGCTCTCCACCTCCCGCCGGGCACTCTCCCGGTCCTCCTCCAGGGAGACGTCTGAGTCTAGAGATGGGCGACTGGTGTAGGAGTCAGCTGAACCCTGGGATGAGAGAGTTGTGAGTTATGACCTTTGGGCTCAGGTATAAAGTCATCACTGAGATGATTCTACTCCAGTACCTCATTATACCCAGCTTTTCCCTCACTTAGGAGGTAGTTGGACTCTGATGCTTACTCCTGTCTCCTGAGAAAAGCCCCAGTGCTTCTGAGACTATGAGAGATAGGCACAATCTACATGTGTGAACAGAGAAAGCCTCAACCTCTCCCTCCCCTTCCTCCCCTGCACCATATCTTCTGAGGGAGAGGGAAGTGGGATATATTGGAAATGATCTATTAAAGATGATTCTGAATCCAGACAGTCTGGACATTATCCCTTTAAGATGCCTGGCAGGGATATAGCCAGTCAGCAAATCACTGATCTTGACACATCACTGATTTTTTTTTTCTGGTCGTGGAGCTTGAACTTTGGGCCTGGGCACTGTCTCTGAGCTTTTGTACTCAAAGCCAGTGCTCTACCACTTGAGCCACAATTCCAATTCTGTATTTTTGTGGTTAAGAGTGTCACGAACTTTTCTGCCTGGGCTGGCGTCGAACCACAATCCTCAGCTCTTAGCCTCCTGAATAGCTTGAATTACAAGCATGAGCCATTGGGCGCCTGGCTTTCTGACAAGGTTTTGAAGGCTCCCAGATGATGAGTGCTTGCCCTTGTGGATGAAGACTGAGCCCAGGGCTGCCACTTCTGGAAAATGCCTTCTCTTTATAGTCTCCCCACTACTGAATTTTTTTTTCTCCCACACCTGCTAGGGCAACTGGCCAGCTGTGAGCAACAAATAAGACAGACTGAGAGCAACATAAAGCCATTTCCTTGGGCACAGGTGAGGCTGGGCCCACACCTATCACTTGGCCTACATTTCTCCACCCCTTCTTTGGGTCCAGGGAATATGGGGCCTCAGGGAGGTTGTGCTGGTGCTAGGCAACTCAGCTGAGATGCAAGACCTTAGGGAGGGGAGGGCAGGGCAAGGAGAGTCTCTGAGTCTTGTTCTAAGGAAGGATATGGGGACAGTAAGGTGTATTTGAAGCTTCGCAGAGTTTGTCTTCAGGGTCATGCAGTAGATGACAAAGTGAGTAAGGGCAGGGGGACTTTTGGGGCTGGGAAGGTGGCTCAGTGGTAGAGTGCTTGCCTTGCATGCATGAGGCCCTGAGTTCAATTCCTCAGCACCACATAAGCAGAAAAAGCCAGAAGTGGCTTGTGGCTCAAGTGGTAGAGCGCTTAGCCTTGAGCTGAAGAGCTGAGAGACAGCGCCCAGGCCCAGAGTTCAAGCCCTATGACTGACACACACACACAAAAAAGCTAAAGATCAGGATGTTAGTCTTTCTTCTCATTCTAGGGAGAAAGGAATCTTCCATCTTCTGTCTTAGTTTATCTTCCTTATTTGCAGATACCTGAAGGGATACTTCTTGCAATTCGGGGATGTCAGGAACAGAGAGAAGGGGAGTTCTGGATAAAGGGTTCTGATAAAGTATGTGTAGAAGAGGCTCTAGGATGTTCTCAGGCCGAAAACTATTCCTTCAATTCACTAGCATGACCACCCAAGGTAGTCAAGACCAAATACTCAGTGGAGAATGCAAAATCCTCCTTGTCCTCTGCCCCAACGCAAGATATCTTGTTCAAAAGCCCTGGCCAGCTTAGTGTGAGCACAATCCTGAGGCCAAAACCAAAGACAATGTCTGTAGTAGTCCAAAGGCATGATGAGAGCAGAGGAGGAAAATGGCTCCATTTTACAGCAGAGAGCCTGCTGCTCTCCATCCCTCCTGAGACCAGAGCTGGCAGTAGGACAGCGAAGCTAAGCCCCAGAAAAACAAAAAACAAAAACCTTTGCACAGGGTAAACCACCTTGGTCCCAGGGGTCTAAGGACATAAATGCCATCTCTACCATGGCTGGCTAAGTGGACAGAAGCCAGCAGGTCAGGAGGCAGGAGGCAAGGTAGAAATGGCCGCTTGCGGAGTATACATCAAATACTTCCTAGCTGTGCACTTCCAGAGCAGTGCAGGAGAGGTGTCCAATCTCAGCTGTCCAGGCTCTCAGCTTAATTTGGTCACCTTAATGTCCCTACTTGGGGGAGGGAGTATCTAGGTTAGGTGACCTCCCACCCTAGGAAGGGAATGACAGGCTATCTCCCTAAATATTTAATGAGTTGTGCTTGGAATGGAATCCCCTAGCCAGATTCTCAAGTCCTCAGGGTTCACCCATCTTGATCCTACTCTGATTATTACTCAGGGAGACTAAGTACATGCTGAGGGTCTTACTTTCCCCACCCCTTGCTCTTCCCAAACAGCCAGAGACTCAGGACTTGGGAGCTGCCAGAGTTGGCACAGTGCCCTGGTGGTGCCCCCCTTGCCTGGTGAGTGTGTGGGCAGGCTGCAGCTCCTCTTGCCTGGCACGGGGGAAGAAGAGGAGGGAGATGAGCCGGTGGATTTATTTAGAGCCTGATTTCCCTCCTACTGCTTCAGAGGGGGCCTCAGGGAGAGCAAGGAGCCAGGCAAGAGGAAGGGAAGGGGGAGGGCCATCCAGGAACTAGAGAGGGACCAGGAGGGAGTGAAGGGTCAGCAGAACTGCCCCCAAACGCCAGCCATGTGTCAGTCTTTTCCTTGCAAGGGCTCTTGCCTTTACATCAGGGTGGCAAGAACCTTCTAGGGCCCTGTAGCCCCACAATGAGGTTTGTTCTCAAGCTCACCTTGGCACCCTGGGCTACACCAGCTGTCCCTTCAACTGTCAGAAAGAGGTGTCCACCAGAGCCTTGAAAATCATCTGCTCTAAGCGGAAATGTAATTAGCCCTAGAGGTTCCATGGAAAATTGTGTCCTGAAGAAGCCCCATCCCAGAAAAAACTGACAGCTGCCCGGTCCTCAAGCCAGCAACTCATCCATCCAGGATCTGTTGGTGGTGCAAACCTAACCCAGTGTGCTGTCAGGTCCAGGGAGCGCCACCCTCCTGGACACCTAGCAGCTTCACCCATGCCAAGTAGATGGCCTTTCCTAAGAAGGCCTTTTTTTTGTGGGGGGGGGGGACGTTTAAAGAAAGGTTGTCAGCTTTGAGGGGCTACAAAGCTGCTCCTCACTCTTACCCCATCTTTCCAATCATTCTCCCTGCTTTCTGAGCTCCGGGAATCACTGCCTAATGAGCTGATTTGTCTCAGTGGGTCAGGAGATAAAAGCAGAGGAGAATTAAATATTTATCGGTTGCCTGGTTTTCTGAGCAAAGAGCTTCCTCTCCATCCCCAGGCCCTCGGCTCTTCTGGCCTCACCTCCAAGGCCTTCCATGCTGAGCAGAGACTCAGGAGGCAGGGTGCTCTGAGCAAGGCTCAGCATGGGGGGCTGGGGAAATAAAAACCAGCCTAGGTCAGCTGGCCCACCCATGTGCTGGGAGAGAGAAACTGGGCTAAATGGAGGCTGAGGAGAGAAAGCAATGCTCACAGAGGGATGGCAAAGGGGATTCAGGCAGCTCCTCAAGTTTTATGAGTCCTCTGCCTAAAGAGACTGGTACCCAGACGCTCGATGCTCTACCAGCGTCCTCATTTGTCACTTACTTGAGACACAGGTCTTAAGAGTGTTCCTTTCCCCCCTTCCCTGAGGCGCCCAGGGCTTCTCTAACTGTTGTGTTCAGACCCTATAAACCCAGAATTTGGAACTCCAGACTTGGCTTGTCCCCTCTTGAAAACCTGGGTGCCAAAGGGCCTCCAGACCTTCCTTCCTCTGCCCCTTCTGTCCTGGACTTCGGGGCCACCTGCTCGAGCCTTCCTGGCGCTGCCCCCCTCCGGGCACACACCACATCCACTGGATATATAGATAGATCTGGGGGTACCAGGGAGCCCTTGGCATACAAACCCATCTCCCCACTTTCCGAGCGCCAACCCCCCCATGCGCGCCTTGCCCCAACACCCAAAGTCCTGAATTGGGGGTAGGGTTGAAGGGAGAGGAGGTGTCCCCCCAAACTCCTCCACCCTCCCCCTCCGCTCCCCTCCCCGTGGGCACTCACCGCCTCCGAGTCCTCAAACCCGGGAACGTAGGAGTCGTCATACATGGGGGAGTCCGGGTGTGGGGGTGGGGGGGGTTAAGCGAGCGGCGCCGGTGAGGGGGGGGCGGGAGCGGCCCCCGAGGCAGGGGCGAGGACAGCGGGCCGCGCCCGAGATGCCACCGAAGCCCCGCAGCCCTGCGGGCGGCGGCGGGGAGCGGGAGAGCGCGAACGAGCCAGCGAGCGAGCCGCGGAGACCAGCTGCTCGCAGCTTGGATCACCGCTCCCCCCCCTCCCCACCCCCCCAAACCCAGCCGGTCCCACCCCGAGGCGGCTGAGGAATCTGGCGCCGGCTCCCACAACAATAGTGCCCGCCCACCTGACCCCCACTCCCGGGAAGGCGGGGGTGGCGGGGGCACCGCCGGGGGAAGGGGGGTTGGCGGGAGCCCGGCTGGGTCTGGGGAGGAGGGGGGCGGGCGCCTGGCGAGAGGAAGGTGGGTCCTCCGCCCCCAGCACCTCCGGGGCCCGGGGCGGCCGGGAGGGTGGGTGGAGAGGCTGCGAGCGGGGCGGATCCAGGCAGGGAGGAGGCGGGGCGAGGAGAGATGCGGAGACCCAGACGCCTGCTCGGCAACCCAGGAACTACTCCGCCGGGAAACAAAGGGCTGGCGCGGGGGAGGGGAGGGGGCGCGGGGCTGCGAAGACTGGGGACGGCCGTGGAGGGGGGGTGGTGGCGGCGGGAGGAGGGGACGCGGGATCTCCGATCTCCCGATGGGAGACAGGAGAGGATGCGGGTGATGGGGAAAGCCGGCAGGAAAGAAAGGAGGGATCAGATCCTGTCTCCTCGGAGAGACAGGGAAATGGAGAGCCCTTACGGGAGACCGAGGAGGCTGGAGGGGTGGGGGTGGCGGACGCGTGGCAAGGGGCCCCAGGTGAGATGGCGTGTCTGGACCAGGAGCCCCGGAGACTCCAAACGCAATCCCCTCCCGCCGAGTTTCACGACCCCAAGCAACCCCGGGCCCCCAAACAAACGCCCAGCCCTCTCCATTCCGTGCCTGCAACAAAGGGCGGTGTCGCCCGCCTCTGGAGAAAGGGGGAAGTTTCGGGAAGCAGGGTAAGGCCTCCTCACACCTGTTGCTCGGACAGATTTTTCATCCTAGTTAAGACAGGATAGAGGTTCCCTTCCTCGTTTCCCTGCCAAGGACTGTGCCAGACATTGCCAAGGCATCCGTGGGAACTGGGGGGAGGGGTGGTGGTAGTAAGGGGCTGTTTGAGGTGAGCATCAGGAAGACAGGAGGGAAACCCCAGGATGGAGGTTGGGGGAAGGATCGGGGCACAGCAGGGCTGGGGGGGGGGGGGAGGTCAAGTCTGAAAGGGCAGGGGTGGGGTGGACCGTATCATTTTGTCTGCCACTCAAAGGACTACTGACAGTTGACAGGCTAGAACAGTCAATCTGGAAGAGTCTTAAAAGATCTATCCATTTGAGCTCCCTCTTTTTTTTTTTTCACCTGCTGAGCATAATTTTCCCTTTGAATTCTGACCATCCACTTGGACACCCCAAAGAGGAGGCTGTTGTAAGAGACACGGATTGCACTTAAAGTATGCTCTCTGGTCTGTGCTCTGGTCCCTGAGCCCAGTCACATTCCCATTCCCAAGATCTCACACCTAAGAAGGGAAGTTCAGGAATCTGGTCATCCTTTATCTTCCTGGCCTAGAGGGAAATCAGCCACTATTTGAAAGGATTTGATGAGCTGTATGGTAGCAGGAACAGCTGGCCTCTCACCTGGGTCTCCTTGAGTTCCCTTGGCTGGAAAAAGAGAAGAATCCTCATCTCAAGACTGTCCCTATAGACTGCCTTTTCCTGCTGTAATTGGCAGACACATTTTGTCAGTCCCTGTGGCTGAGGGCAACATGATAGGAGGACTCAGCTTTCACAGTTCCTTGAATCCTACAGGTTATAAGCTTACCATTTATACATTAGATTCTTCTATGTTGGAAATTCCTAGACATTGTCTTCTCCATTTCTCAAAAATCATTGTATCTTCCCTTTCCATTTCTGTCTCTTTGAATTGTTTCTCTCCTTCCAGAGAGTGGAAAAGTGAAAGAAGAATACCTTTAAGGTGCTCTTCCCCTGGGAGATGGTTCTAAAGGTTCTATCCTAATCTTGAGTCTCAGGGGGCATTCTCCCCATCCACAGGAAGGTCCTGGGACTGTCCTGGTAACAGGGAATGTGCCCTTGGCAGCCCTCTTTCCTCACACACACACCCCATTGTTTCCATCCGCTATTGGGACAATAGTGCCTAAGTCTGCTTCAGAGGCAATTAGGTGCCATGCCAACCATTTCCCAAGAGAGGATTCAAGTTCCTCATACCTGGGCCCATCCCTTGGGTCCTGCAAGTCCATTGAAGATTCCCTCTCTCCTCCTAACACCTCTGGGTTGCGACCCAATGCCCCTTTCATTTCTCATCTCATCTACACCTGCCTTTCTTAGGTTCTTGTGTCTGCCTAGGTGTGGGAGCAAAACATAAATGGAAAACACTAAAGAGCCAGGTTTGGGAGTCAGAGGTCTTAGGAGTCTCCAGAATACATGTTTTTCTCCCTGAGTGCATCAGGAAGCTGGCAGATTCCAATCCCCCAGCATTGCATGGGGAAACTGAGGCAAAGCTAGGATTTCCGTTAACAGGTGGAAGTCCCTAGCATTCCAGCTGCTAGGCTATCCCTAGGGAACTCAGAGAGGGACACCAGTAAAAGAGGGGGGAGGGAGGGCTTGGCAGCCCTTCTCATCTAGTCCCATTTCTGGGGTTTCAATCCTCCCTTTCCAGTCCCAATACTTGGGAGCTGCCCGCTCCTGCGGACCCCTCCTCTCTTAAAGACTCACCTGCCCATGCTGCAGTCTCTCCCCCTCTTCTTAGCTTGTAGCAGAGCTCTCCCCCCACCCACTGGAGGGGTCCCTGCAGTTACCTCGTTCAGCAGGAAGGTTGCACTGGAGTCAGAAAAAGACATAGACCGGGCTAGCGGCCTCTCCCCCTCTCCCCGGGCCAGGGGCTCCGAGGCGGGAGCAGGACCCGGCCGGCTGCTCTGCACACTGCTCCCGCCTGCACGCCTGGCCTCGCCCCACGCCCGCCCAGCTCCGCCGCCGGCTCCCTTTCCCTCGATCGCGGTTCCTCCCCCTTTCCTCCTCCCTCCCTCTCTCCCTCCTCCCTCCCTCTCCCTTCCTCTCTCGCCACCGCCTCCCTCTGCCACTCACGCTCTGCGGTCGCCTTTCAGTCCAGCCTCTCTCCACTTCCGTCTCTCCTCTCCACCATCCCAGCTCCGCGTTCATCTGGGTGTCTCCCCTTGTCCTTCCATTCCCACCTCTCTCGCCCCTCCCCGTCCCTTCCCTCCCCTCCCTCCTCCCAGGCTTTCTTCACCTGGGCTCCCGAAAGCAAGGAAGGCACTGGATCTCTCTGCCTCGGCTGGTCGCAGGGCAGGAAGCTGGGGTTTCGGCGCGCGGCTCTGCGCTTTTCCGACCCCTGCTTCGCTCACCTAACGCCCAGCCTCCCGCGCCCCAGCCACAAAGCCATCTCCGCGGTCCCGGCGGCGCCTGCGACCCCGATCTCAGCCGGGGAAAGGATCCAAAAGGAAGAACGCTCCAGCTCGGCTCGTTTGTCCAAGCCTCTGGGCTTCGGGGAAGCCTAGACCAGCCATCTCTCCCAGGCCTTAAACCCCGTGGCTCCCAGAGGATCTATTTAGAGACAGCCTAACTGGGATGCACCTCGAGCCCGAGAAGTCGCTAGGTCACCCCTTCTTCCTTGGTCCTAGTTCTGACCCAGAGGTGGGGTGGGGTGGGTGTCTCAGCTTCGAGATGGGGGGTGGGGGGAAGGTCAAAGCCAAGCGCCCCGGGGCACTTCCCGCCCAGCAGCCCCAGGGCTCACAGGCCCGAGGCTATGCACGCCCTCCAGGTGGCGGCACCCGCTCGGGGTCTGGTCTCTGGCCAGCAGGAGGCGCTGCCCTGGAGGGCTCAGCCCCAACTCCGACCCCGCGGGAACCCGGGAAGAAACCCCCTCCCCACCCCCACTTCTCCAAACCCCCTCCCCAGCCCCACTTTTCCATCTCTCCAGAAAGTGCGACTTAGCTTATGGACCCCAGGGAAGGGATCCCCCCCCCCCACCCAGGGCGCGCTCACGGTCCCCCATCTCCTCCCTCCCCTCTCCTCCCGACCCTTCCCGGACCCCAGGCTGTTTCCTACCTCCATCCTGGTCTCTGGGGGAAGCACCTGGTCCAGCCGGCAAGCAGCCCAGCCGGGACTGGGCAGCCGGGAGCACAGAGTGGCAGGACGGCTCCTCGGGTCAGTACCCCCTCCCGCCCCCTCCCGCGGGCACGTCAACCAGGACAAGCCCAAGTTCTGGCGGGGGAAGGGGGGTGCGGGGGTGTAGTCCCAGTCAGCCTTCTCATCCGCCACACTCAGAGCGGACCAACCTCTCATTGGTCGGTCCAAATCTCCCTACACCCAGGCTGGACCTTTTTGTTTTTAATACTCCAGATTGGGGTTGGGGAGGTGGGGAGGAGGACCCTCCCAAACAGACCAGACCTGAGACCGAATGACCGGGCCGCCAACTTTACTAGCGAACGTGCTTCCTTCCCCAGCCCTTCTTTGAAGACACTTTCTCTGGGGGCTCTAGGGGTCCCCTCTTCCCTTTAGTCTTCCCCTTCCCCCCCCCACCCCCCCCCCCCACGCCGAGGATCTCAGAAAACGGCCCCTCTTTGCTCAGCGGCTTCTCCACTGGTTCCCAGTCCAAGGGAGTTAAATTGGAAGATAATCCATTATCAGAGTTATCTCTAACCACCCCCACCCCCACTCCCGCCCCGCAGCAGCTATGCCTTAGGCTGAAATGAACCTACAAAGCCTGGCAGTGGTTCAGACTGCCTATCCAGGGATCCCCTAATGCCCACCCTACCCCACCCCCAAGTTATTCAGCTTCAACCCTTCAGAGGAGATGGGTGTGTGTGTGTGTGTGTGTGTGTGTGTGTGTGTGTGTGTGTGTGTGTGTGTGTATTTTCAGAACGTGCGTGGAGGTTTTCATATTTTGGTCTTGCTTGGGGCCCTAATGGATGGAGCAAAAGCTTTGCCTTTCATTTGGCAGAAAGACCTGGAGGGAGAGAGCCCTCCCTTCTGTCTTCCCCTCCCCTGCTGACCACAGCTAATGGACTAGCTCCTCTGGGCCTTGGGGCAGCTTGAGTTTCCACAGGAGAAGCAGTTGTCCCTGGCTTTCCCCTTCCTTCCTTCCCCCCACCCCCCCCCTCCACTCTCTCTGCCTGAACCTATAGCCTTGAGGATATCTCCATGTCTTTAAGATAGAACTTATCAGTTAGCTCGCCCTGGGCCTGTTAGAGGGGATCTGTGGTGAATGGGGGCGGGGGGGGGGGGGGGGGGGGGGGGGGGGGGGGGGAAGAGTTCCAAACCTTTCTTCTTTCCTTTCTCTCTCATTCTCTCCTCCCTCTTTCTCCCCTCTCTCTTTCCCTCTCTCTCCCTCCCTCTTTCCCTTCCTTCCTTCATTCCTTCCTTCCTTCCTCCCTTCCTCCCTCCCTCTCTCTCCTTCCTTCCTTCCTTCCTTCCTTCCTACTTTCCTTCCTTCCTTCCTCTCCCTCCCTCCCTCCCTTCCTTCTCATTCCATCCCAGCTGCTAGACCACATATCTCTTCTTTGTTATACAGAGAAGATAGGAAGCTTTAGAGCTGGAGCTAGGAGTCCAGCTGCCTCTCCAAGGCCTCTCTGAATGAGATGACCAAAGGATACTTCACTCTTTGGGACTTAGCTAGTTCACATCCCACTTGATGTCCTTCAGGCTATTTTACTCTGGCTCTGATCTCAAAGTCTCTGGGAAGGTTACCCTAAAAGGAACCCCTAGCATGGACACATTCTGGGACCTCTGCTCCAACTTGGCCCATGTGGGGCCCATCCCTAGCCCCTTCCCAGGTAGCCTTCATGCCTTCTCATTGGGTCCAGCTCGCCTTGTTCCCAGACTTTCCTTCCAGACCTCAGGTTCTCAGGATGTTGGGCAGGGTCCCTGTTGGCCCTTCTACCTAGAAGCAGCTATGTACCAGGGGTTTACCCTGCTGATGGAAAGCTGCTAAAACTAGGCACAACTCTGCTTAGTGACTGGCATTTGAAAATCTGTGCACCACCATGTGCATTGCATTGTATTTATTCTACCAGATTGAACAAAAAGTGCCTAATCTTTATCTTTGGAGAAAATTCTGGAGAACTAGCTTCCACAGGGAATCCCCATGGCCAACTCCAGATTTTACTATTGAGGAAGTTCCTCCCACATCCAACCTCAATCTCTTCTGCTACAATCAGTCTTTTCCTGGGTCCGCCTCTGGGCCCATGATGTTATTTGATGCTTTGAGGTGCTTTCAGGCTCCATTCCCTGATGCAGCAATTGCTATAAATATGTTTGAAGAGTTTCTTGCTGACACTGCCCAGAAAGATTGCACCTTCCTTCCTGCAAGCAGGCCTCTGGGGGGCAGAAGGGGGAGAGGAGAAGGAGGGAAGGAGGAAGGGAGAGAGAGAGAGAGAGAGAGAGAGATGATATGACTTCAAGACCCAACTCTTGTCTACTCTGGAGCAGGCAGACAGTGTGATTGTTCTGTGGATTTGGGGTTCCTCCTTTTAGCTGTGAAGGAGAGAAAGGTGAGCTGGCTGAGATGCTTGGCTTCCTTCCTTCCTTCCTTCCTTCCTTCCTTCCTTCCTTCCTTCCTTCCTTCCTTCCTTTCTCTCTCTCTCTCTCTTTCTTTTTTTCTTTCTTTTTTTGCTCAGAGGCAGATAGAATAATACACAGTAGGTACTTGATTTATATTTCCTTTTTTTCTATTTTCTTCTTATATTTCTTTTTGTTGGTCATGGGTCTTGAAATCAGGGCCTGGGCACAGCTTTTTTACTCAAGTCTAGCACTTTACTACTTTAAGCTACAGGTGCACTTCTGTTTTTCTGGTAGTTAATTGGAGATAACAGTCTCAGACTTTCCTGCCCAGGCTGGCTTTGAACCAGATTCTGAGAGCTCAGCCTCCTGAGTATTTAGGACTATAGGTGTAAGCAACTGGTACCCAGTTTGATTTATATTTCATTTAGTGTTAGGTCTCTGTTTTCTGTCTGGCTCCTTGCTGATGATTGTAATTGCACAGGATAGATTGCAGGAGTAATGTGACTGAGGTAGGAGGAGAACTCTCAAGCTGCTCCCAGGGTGAGTGAAAGGTGGAGGGGTAGATGGGGTAGGGTACCCAAGGGATACTCCTCGGATGGCTGGAAATGAAGCTGGCTTGAACTTTATCCCTTTCTCCTCTGGAGGCAAAGCCTGTTCTGGCCAGACTCCTAACACATTAGGATTCAGAATCACGGCACTGTGCAAGGGGTCCATTCCAATTCTCCACCTCTACATGTTTACAAGCTTTGTAAACAGCAGAGGTTAACCAGGGAAGCTGAGGTTGCAGTGGGGGTGCATGATGATCCTAGGAAGAGATATTTGGAATAGTTGACTCAGATTACAGGCCGAAGTAGTAGGGGTTCTATGGGAAAAAAGAGTTTCTAAAATAGGAGCAGCCCAAACATACTGCTGAAACTTGGGACAGGGGACAGTAACCGGTAGCTGGGAGGCTCAGAGATGGGGGGAAAGTACAGCCAGAGGCTATGGAGATGGCCAGCATGGATCACTCTAGCTCACTGCAGTATGTGGATTTCTTGATCTCTCTTTGGAATCTTGATCTCAGCCAGATGGGATTCTTCTGACAAAGATATCAGCATAGAGTTGAGGGCTGGGTATTTGCTATACCAGTCCACCCCCATCCCCACCCCTCGCCTCCCCCCAGCAAGGGTCTGAGCTTGTAGTAGCCACCTCTGGCTCAGAATGAGGCCATGATGCCTGCAGCTCCTGGAGAATGAATTATTGAAGAGGGCATAGAGCTGGCAGCTCACAGCTGCTGCCCCCTGGGCCCAACATTGCCTTTCACTGTTTCACACTGCTTCAACCCCTCTCCCCCAAAGAAAATAAAAAGGGGATATTAAGGAGAAGTAGGAATTAGATAGGGATGGGAGTTTGGGAC